GATACAAGATTGGCTGTTACGTACCTGTGAAGTTGTTGCGCAGACTCACGAGGGAGGAAGAAGGCGGCCATAGCCGCGGAGCTGTGCCACAGAGGGACGAAGGAGGACAGAGAAGGAGGGACCGAGGAGAGAGATAGAAGAAGAAGTGTGGAAGGAGGGGCATCGGAGGAGAAGACAGACATAGCCGAGGGTGAAAAAAAAAAAAAAAAAGAGAAAGACAGCAAGGAAGAAGAAGGCGAAGGAAGGGGAGGAAAGAGACGAGGGTGGCGAAGGTTAAGGTGCCGGCAGCCATAGCCGAGGTGGAGGGTTGACCGGGCGTTGACCGGAGGGTTGACCAGGGCGTTGACCGGGGTCTTGCTGCGTTGACCAAGAGTTGACCGGACAGTTGACCGGACAGTTGACCGGACAGTTGACCGGACAGTTGACCGGACAGTTGACCGGACAGTTGACCGGACAATTGACAGGACAGTTGACCGGCGCCGTTGACCAAGACTTTGACCAAGCTGGAGTTGGTAACATCTCGCCAAGCCCTTAGCCTATCCCCTCACCCTGTGGATGTGTACTCACCCGGCGGTACTTGCCGAGTCTGAGTCTGTCTGTCTCTTCTTTCTGCATCGAGTCTCTTTTGTCCTAGGTGATAGTCTTCTGTGGATGAAGGATAGTGCTTGGGTGACGAAACCTTAGTCTGACCTTGTAGGGCTGAGACTGTGGCTGATCCAACTTTCCAGGGGGGCATAACCCTCCCAAGGACCGGTACTGACCGGCTGGAAACGGTTGGTAGGACTTAGTGGGCCTGAACGGCAGCTAAGGCTGACACACCAGGCAGTCTTTACGTGTTGAGGGCTTGTTTGAACCACTCCCCTACCGGACAAAGTAAGGCTGAGGATCTGTGTCTGACGACTCGACTGTCCCGGGGGATACGAACCCTCCCAAGGACCGGTACAGACCGGCGGGCTGCTCGGTGTGGCACAGTAGGCCGGAAAGGCTGAGTTGTGGGCTGAAAGTACACGCAGAACCAAGCTGATCACGTCGTCATGTCTGCGACGTTAAAGAATTCTTGCGGAGTTTGGGGGATCTCCTTAAATGCCTCCAGATCAACTATTGGTTCCGTAGTGACAGCCTTAGAGTAGGTCCAGGCTAGTGACCATAGTTGGCAGGGTTTTACCCTGTGGTCCTTAGAGAGTCTGTCAGTGAGTCTACGGGTTGGTCTACGTGGTGAGGAGTGGGGCAGTCTTGTCGTGCACCTATCACCATGGATGATTACCCGATGTATGGGTTACTTGTTGGGTTCTCCCTTTGGGGGACCCTCTGGCGTCTCCTCTTTCCCCTGGGGTTCTGGCACACGTTCACATGTAGAGTAGATACCAGGGGTGGTGCCTCCGCTAAGCCTTATACGAAGGAGGAGGAGGAGAAGATGGCCGCCATCCTGAGGGAGAGGAAAGAAAAGAAAGAGGCCAAAAAGAAGGCCCTGATGGAGATGCAGGCCGCCAAGTTGAAGAAGATAGAGGAGGAGATGGCCAGAGAAAAGGAAAGATTGAAAAAAGAAGAAGAGGAGAAACTAAAAGAGGTGGAAGAGGAAGAGGAGGAAGATGAGCAGCCGCTGGAAAGGAGGAGAGAGCAACGAGGGCAGTACAGTGGCAGCAAAAATGAGGAAATGGAGAAGAGGATTTCAGAGTGGGTTGCCAACTTGTCTTTGGGAGAAGAGGAGGAGGTAGCCATGTATATCCCCAAGGACGAGCAGGAGGCCGCCATGAAGGAATGGGATGTAGAAGGAGATGCTTTGAAGCGGCAAGAGAAGGAAGATGAGAAGAAAATGGAGTGGAAGTTGAGGGTGATGTGGGAGAAGAAGAAGAGGGTGGATGCAGCAAGTGCAGCGGTCAAAGAGTTGGAGGAGGTGCAGAAACTGAGTCTACAGTTGACCCCTCAAGTGGACCTCCAACGAAAAGTAGAGATTATTGCCCAGAGTGTCGAGTGCTTGGCCCGAGTGCAGGAAGAACAGTATGAGTTTAGTCGAAGTCAGGATATGGCCGTGCGCTCGATGCGGATGGGGTTTCGGGACTTTGCCCGCGAACTGGTAGGCGTTGTAGGAGCCGAGGTGAACCATCCCCTCGAAAAGACCGAACGATTTTGTGTCGGCGCCATTGAAGGCGTCAAGGCGACCGCTCCCAAGGAGGAAGAGGTACGTCCTTGCAGGGAGCCAGTCAAGGTCAAGTTCCCTGATTCCTACAGTGGAAAAAGGGAAGAAAACTTTGACAATTGGGAGGCCAATGTCAAGACCTATGTGCATCTGCAACAGGTCTCCCCAGATCAGCACGTATTGATTGCGATTCATGCGCTTAGAGACGAAGCCGCGAGTTTCGCGAGGTCCCTAGTCCGCTCTGCCAACTACAATGATGATGCAGTTGCCTACTCTTCATTCACCCCCCTTGTGGATTTTATGAAGTTGCTGCGCGAGCGATTTGCTGATGTCGCCCGCAGTGTCAAAGCCTCTGATAGGCTCCAGACCATCCATTCTCGCCAATGGAAGAGTGCCAGGGCACTCAAGGGTGTTATGGACGAGTGGGTGGCTGTTCCTGACCACGGGGTCACAGAGACCCAGTAGGTCAACCTCTTCTATAGGGCTATGCCCGAGTCGTTGCGTGGCCACTTCTTTGCGAAGAGTCAAGATCCTGCCATGACGTACGATGCACTCAGCAGGGAAGTGGTAGCCTTTGAGGCAAAGTCTGTGTCAGTTTCCGCCTTTTGGCACAAAGACTTAGATAAGGGAAAGAAGTGGAAGGGTCGCACTATCTCAGGGCAAGTTAAGACCAAGGATAGTCTTGTCCTTACTTTAGACGAAGGTAGTGTTGACGAGATCCCCTACGATCAGATAGAGTGGGGGTTAGAGGATGAGGACAATGGGGTGAGTTAGGGGAGAACTTATGCTACCGTCGCGGTTGGAGGGAGGCCGCAAGGAGGAGGACGAGGCCAGGGCCAAGGGGGCCGGGCCCCAGGGAACCGATCTCAGGGCGATCAGGGGTTTGGCGGCAGAGGAGGGAACTGCCAAGTGGGAGGTAGGGGTCAAGGTCCCCCGCAAAACCGTTCTGGGAATAGGTCTCCTTATAGGAGAGGTGGATGGCACCCAGGGCTACCGCAGGGTAAGCCTTGGGAAGACCCGGGTATGGACAAGGGCTTATGGCAACAGCGTGTGGACCGGGGCCAGTGCATTTATTGCGGTGACCCGGGCCACATCATTAAACATTGTCCTAAGTATAGAGAGGCCCGATCGGCTGCTCAAGGGTCAAACGACAGCCGCCGGCAGGGGTAGCAACTGCCCCCACCATTAGGCCATGTGGGGAAAATAGCGCTAGCCGGCAGGAGACTCCCACACCACATGAGCCTATGGCAGAGGTTGCAGGCCAGTGTCTAAATAGCTGTCCAGAGACTGCTTGTGTTAGGGTCTCTCTAGACACCTCCCTCACAGGCGTGGCCGAAGAATTGAAGGAGAGGATGCCCGCCTGGGCCAAGATGAAAAAGGAACAAAAAGGATAGCTTATATTAGTAGATACAGAGATCTTTAGAGGTCGAGTTGGCGCCTTAGTGGATAGTGGAGCCACTTGTAGTTATATCAGTAGGAAGGCGCTACAGAAGCTGAAGTTGCAACTGAAGGCTCAAAACTAGCAGACCCCGTAGTAAGTATCCTCGCGGACAATCGCACCATGCGAGTAGAGGAATACGTAGAGGGAGTCCAGGCGTATTTCCGCCTAGAAAAGGATGGGAAAGTGGAGAAGGTTCTCCATTCCCTCGCTCTCCTCGTAGAGGACAGCCTCCCGTTTGACATAGTCCTAGGTATGGACTGGGGAGAGGTGGCAGGAGCCACACTCCATTTGAGAGAGCACGAGTGTAGGCTCCCTAGACCGTCAGGCGGTGTCAAGACTTCCCGCCTGTTCCATGTGTCAGGAGTAGACAACTCCCTGGCGCATTGCTGCCTTAGCGCTCCTGCGTTTGTGAGGCTAGTAAAGAAGGAGCAGCTAGAGGGACAGGTCTTTGTAGCCTATGTTAGGCCAGTTACTGAGCCTAAGGAAGAGAAACCTATGGACCCTGTTATTGCCAAACTACCTGAGGAATTTAAAGACTTAGCTGAGCCACCGTCCGGAGTAGTGTCGCGGCCCATCCAGCATCGCATTGAAATAGAACCTGGCAGTAGAACTCCTAAGGGCGTTGTGTACAGGATGTCCCCGCGGGAGTTGGAGGAGCTTCGCAAGCAGCTAGACGAGCTCCTTGAGAAGGGTTGGATTAGGCCCAGTTCGTCTCCATTTGGAGCACCTGTTCTCTTTGTCCCCAAAAAAGAGGGAGAGCTGAGAATGTGTATAGACTACAGGGGTCTGAATACTATCACAGTGAAGAATGTCGAGCCACTGCCTAGGATAGATGATCTCCTAGATAGAGTGCAGGGGGGCAAGTACTTCTCAAAGATAGATCTAAAGTCCGGATATCATCAAATCGAGGTGCATCCTGATGATCAATAGAAGACAGCCTTCCGGACTAGGTATGGGCATTATGAGTTTATAGTGATGCCCTTTGGACTGACCAATGCGCCAGCAACGTTCCAGCGCTGTATGAACGACTTGTTTCGGTCATGGTTAGATAGATTTGTTGTGGTTTACTTAGATGACATTTTAGTGTTTAGCAAGACCCTCCAAGAGCATCAGGGTCATCTCAGACAGGTCTTGGAGAAGCTGAGAGAAGCCAACTTCAAGATCAACGCAAAGAAGTGCGATTGGGCGAAGACCCAAGTCTTATATCTAGGCCACGTCTTAGACGGAGACAGCGCCAGGCCAGAAGATTGCAAAATCGCAGCGATTAGAGATTGGCCCACACCGCGCACGCTGACAGAATTGCGGTCGTTCTTGGGCTTAGCTAACTACTATAGGAAGTTCGTGAGGAACTTCTCCACTATCGCTGCGCCCCTTCGCAGATTGCTGAGGAAAGAAACCATATGGAAGTGGGATAAGGACTGCACGTCTGCCATGAAGAAGTTGAAGCAGGCGTTGATAGAGTACCCAGTCCTTAAGGTAGCCGATCCGTCCTTGCCCTTTGTCGTCACTACGGACGCCAATCAGTACGGCATAGGTGTTGTGTTGCAGCAAGACAATGGCAATGGTTATCGACCCGTAGAGTTCATGTCCGCTAGGATGCCTTCAGAGAAGGTCGCGACATCTACCTATGAAAGGGAACTCTACACTCTTAGGCAAGCACTAGAACACTGGAAGCACTACTTGCTTGGGAGGCACTTCAAAGTCTATTCAGATCACGAGACGTTGAGATGGTTAAAGACCCAGGCCAAGATGACACCTAAGCTTACTAGGTGGGCCTCTGAAATAGATCAATATGATTTCGAGCTCAAGCCAGTAAAAGGGAAGTATAACGTAGTTGCGGATGCTCTGAGTAGGAGAGCGGACTACTTTGGAGCGATAGTTCACTATCTGGACATAGGGAAGGACCTGCAGCAAAAGGTTAGGGAAGTGTACGCACAGGACCCCATCTATAGTGACCTTCTTAAAAGAGTAAAGGAGGCCCCAGAGATCGAGCCAGATTACCGCACTACTGAGGGGTTGCTCTTTGAGAAGACTAACATATTTGACCGATTGTGCATTCCCAACAGCGAAGAAATCCGTAGTCTGATCTTAGGAGAATGCCACGACACAGAGGGTCATTTCGGTTGGCACAAGACTCTGGCCAATCTAATGCACGCGTACACCTGGCCGGGTATGAAGAATGACTGCATAGAGTATGTTCGCAGTTGTAAAGTCTGCCAGCGGAATAAGACTACTACGCGTGCCCCGCTAGGCCTTCTCAGACCCTTACCTATCCCTGATCAGCCCGGAGATTCGGTGTCCATCGACTTTATGGACGCAGGCGTCAAGAGTAGGCATGGCAAGAGCCAAGTCATGGTGATAGTCGATAGATTCAGTAAGTATGCTGTTTTTGTACCTTTGCCTTTAGAGGCCCGAACCGAGTTAGTAATCCGTAAGTTCTTTGATCACTGGGTCAGCGAGCACGGGGTCCCATTGTCCATAGTTAGTGATAGAGACACCCGGTTCACAAGTCAGAACTGGCAGGAATTGATGAGAGTCTATGGCTCTAAGTTGTTGATGTCGTTTGGCCGTCATCCAGAGACCAACGGTCAGACTGAACAGATGAATAAGATCCTGCAGCAAGTTCTAAGAATGTACATTAGACCTGATCAAGTCGACTGGGATGAGATGCTCCCCAAGGTAGCCAGCGCTTACAACAATAGTGTGCATCTGTCTACGTGCCGCACGCCCAACGAGCTGCACAAGTCCTTTAGGCCGCGCAGACCGTTTGAAGGACTTAACCGGGACCAGATTCATAGGCTACGGCCCGGTACTAGGGAGTTTGCGATTCAGCACGAGAAAGAACTAGCTACTGTTGTAGAGAACCTCAGGAAGGCCCAGCATAGAATGAATAGAGCAAGCCAACAAACATCATCGCCCATCACAGTTCCAAGTAGGCGACTTAGTCTGGGTCAAAGCTAAAGAGTTTGCTCCTGAGGAGAACATCTCGCAAAAGTTATTGCCCGCATATAGAGGACCGTGGCCAGTTCTAGAGGTCGAGGGCGGAGAGGATGGTCCGTCATATTCAATAGAGATTCCACTACACCTCCACACCTACCCAGTTTTTCATGCGTCAAAGTTGTTGCCGTGCACAGTAAGCAATCAGTTTCCATCTAGGCGCTCCATGATCCCTCCAGACATGGATGGAAGGTATGACATTGACGGCATTGTAGGTGAAGATGTGTTCAGAACAGGAGGTCGAGGTCGTCCACAGAAACAGTATAAAGTCAGATTTGCATATCAAGAGCCAGAAGACGACCGGTGGTTCACCTGAAGTGAACTTCTAGAAACAGCCCCGGACATAGTTACGGCCTACGAAAGAGATAGGAAAGGTAAAGGTCCTGGCTTGGACTGAAATTTTCTCGGAGGACCTCGAATTTAGGCCGGCGGGAGTGAAACGGTATTCACCAGTTTGCAGTAGCTGATGCAGAGCCCAGGGCTCGATCCCTAGATCTCCACCTTACCTGTGTACAATACCTGTGTCAACCCATAGAGTTGAACCTGCGACCTGGAGGATCGCCAGTGGTAGGTAGGGTGTCGTAGGTTACAGGGTATAGGGGATTCGAACTG